CCCCCGGCCCGACCTCGGCAGGACCCGACAGGCCCGCGGGCGGCGCGGCCACCTCGGAGCCGTTCTCGGCGCCGCTCGCAGCCCCCGGGCCGGCCTCCGTCCCGGCCGCCGCCGCCGCCGCCGCCGCCGCCGCCGCCGCGGCCGCCGCCTTCTTCCCAGACAACATCTCGGGCCGCCGGGCCGCCGACGGCCGTAGGGGCCGCTCGGTGTGTCGCTCCGTGGGTCCGGAGCCGCCTGGCCTCCCCTCACACGACCTACAGCAGCCAACTGCCGCCGCGTACTCAAAGCGCTGAGCGCGCTCCCGCCGCGTCGGGACAAAAAGACCCGGAGTCGCCGACGGCCCCGCCCCTCCCCCGCAACCATAGAGCGGCGTCCTGTTGGCCAGAGCGGCGCCGGGGCAAGGAGCGAGATGCTCGCCTAGAGCGTCTCCCTGGCCTTTGGAGTATGTCCCAGCGCAAGCCGAGGTCTGAGGGCTTCTGGGCCAGGCTGCACCTCCGAGGACGACTATTTCCTTCCGGGACTTGCTGGCGTGCATAGGTGTGTTCATTCATTCACTCACTCACTCATTCGTCAACTCAGCCAATATTTAAAGTATGAACTCCTTGCTTTCAAAGAACTTACAGGCTAATGCGGGGGAAAACACATTGGAATGTACTGGTAGCTCATCTTATTTACTCATAGTTGTCCTACTTGAACCGGGGCAAACAGCACATGAGTTTCGATGGTAATAAAATGCAGAGAAGTTAGGAAATCCAGGTTTGAGTCCAGACGGAATTGCTCTTGCCTCCAAGCCTTTGTTCATGCTCCTCCTTCTGTCTGGACCTCCTCCCCATCTGTACCCTTTCGTTTGTACTTCTCTTCTGTTACCCCCCACATCCCCCATCCCCACACACATAACATCTCTTTCTACTCCAGGTTAATTCTTTCTAATGATAATAGCGATGGGTAGTTTATTCTTTTTTTTTTTTTTTTTTTTTTGAGTGGGAGTCTCATTCTGTCGCCCAGGCTGGAGTGCAGTGGCACGCTCATGGCCACGGCAGCCTCGACCTGCTGGGCCCAGTGATCCTTTCACCTCAGACTTCCAAGTAGCTGGAATTACAGGCATGCGCCACCACCCCAGGCTAATTTTGTGGTTTACTGTAGAGATGAAGTCTCGCCAAGTTGCCCAGGCTGGTCTCAAACATGTGGGCTCAGTCAATCCCCTCATCTCGACCTCGCAAAGTGCTGGGATTATAAACGTGAGCCACTGCGCCCGGCCCAAAGTACAAAAAATTATTCCATTTACATGAAGTTCAAGAACTAGTAAAACATCTTTAAGCCGGGCTCGGTGGCTCAGCCTGTAATCCCGCGCCTTTGGGAGGCTGAGG